AATTCCTGTTAATATGTTGACAGGACGCATCAACGCCGTGATGGCGGCTCTCAACGGCCTGATGCCCATGTTGGGTTACGCGTGCTACTCCCCGATCTACTACAACACCGTCGACGTGTGGCCCGCTGCCCAGTTCTTCTTTGCTGCCGGGCTTAACGCCATCATCATAGTCCTCTTCATGTAAGCCAGATTTTGTCCTCATTACTGATATTAATGATCATAATAAGACAATATGCAACAACATAAAGGATTCAGTTGATAAACAACATTATCAGCACTATCATTCCTTTTGTCTCTAATGACAGACATTTGTGTGTCAACTATAATTTTCTTTGCCTTTCCAGTATAATACAAGTGCGTCAATCTTCGCCGATCAGCCCTGAGGACCTGGAAGTGGCCCCGGAAAAAGAGGATAAAGACGGACCTGGGAACTCCAAGACCCTTACTCTCAGTCATTCTCTCAGTAGTCCAGGAAAAAGTCGTGATTCTCACAAGTGCAATGACTCACCCACACTCCAACAGTTGTCTTACGCCAAGAAAAATACTAAAGAACTTACTTCGAGTTTGCCTCCGGTACCCAGCGAGTGTTACTCAGTTGGAGACTGTGCCAACACAGACAATGCGAACTTCACCTCAAGAGTCAAACACAGTCCAAGTGTTAATGGATATATGACGAAGAAAAATTCTGATGTAGATGATCCTTCAGCCGACATTGGTCAGTTTACACCAAGGACCAACCAGCAGGGAACCAAAGAAGAGCGGCCACCAGGCATATGGTACAGAGGAGACGAGAAGGAAGCGGGATGTTATAGCAGCAGATTTAGTGATGCGGAGATCACTGCGTCAGAAAAGACAGACTAAGTTTCCTTGGATAAAGACGACGCGAGACGTCCCTCCTGCCGCTCGCTATGCACACCGGAGGCTGGTCTTAGTGGTAGTGTATTATGTTAACTTAATTTACTGGAGTGTATAATTAACCAACCTTTACAGACACAGTGTATGAGTGTATAATTAACCAACCTTTACAGACACAGTGTATGAGTGTATAAGGTTTTTTTTTTTTTGTGAATTAGCCCACCCGGGCACAGGTCAAATGACCCACAACGGAGCCTGGGGGGCGAGAAAAAAAAAGAACGAAAAGAAATTGTAAATATAGAAAAAAAGGTTATACTGTATTAATCTACACCACGAAGATGCCGGAAAACCAGCTTTTTAAAGTGAGACAGATTGTAAGAGCATGGAAACACAGAAGAAGGCAGAGCATTCCACAGTTTGGCTGTGTGAGGAAAGAAGGGGGTACTATAACGGGTTATTCTCGTGTGACCGACATCCACGGAGAAACGGTGGGCACCGCGGGCAAGACGTGTGTTACGAACTCGCGGCCTTGCCGGTGGTACACAGGATGCCAAATCCACTGAACATTGCCCGTTAAAGTACCTGTAAAAGAGAGAGAGTGAAGCAACATTGCGGCGAAGAGAAAGGGAAGAGAGATTATCGACTAAAGGAGGAGAGTTAATAAGACGAAATGCCTTTGATTCCACCCTATCTAATAGTTGGACAGAAAGAAGAAGAACCACCCCAGATATGAGAGCAGTACTCCAAGTTAGGACGAATGAATCCCTAATATACTTGGAGCAACTGCTCAGGAGTGAAGTAGCTGCGGCATCTGTACGGCATTCCCAACTTTCGGGAGGCAGCTTTAGTTATACTAAGGATGTGTGATTTCCAGGACATATTGGAGGAAATGGTGAGGCCTAACATATTTATTTCAGAATTTGGGAGGATGATAGCGTCCTGAAATGTAATTGGTGGGAGATCGTCTAATTTACAAAGTGTAATTGGTAAATATTGAGTTTTGTTACTATTGAACTTGACCAAGTTTGTACCTCCCCATTCAGAGATGCTGCACAGATCCGCGTTGATAGAAGTAATGAGATCAGTTCTAGAAACAGATCTAGTTTGAGAGTTAGGAGGAAGGGGAAAATGTGAGGAAGAGTGAAGAGTGGAATCATCGGCGTAAGAATGGATAGAATTAGTTGTAGTGTGAAGTAGATCATTGATAAAAAGAAGGAACAGAACCCTGTGGGACGCCACTATTGGTAGAGAAAGAGCGAGAAATCGATCCATCGACAACAACCGCCATGGATCGGTTCTCAAGGAAGCTAGAGATGAGAGAACAAAGTGGGGTAGAGAAACCAAAAGAGGGAAGTTTAGATAGCAAAGACTTGTGCCATACCCTGTCAAATGCTTTGGAGATTGTATGTATATTATGTATGCTGGATTATGTATTATGTATGTATATTATGTATGTGCTCCATTTATATTTATTCAGCCTAGCTAGCAGCGTGTGGCAATGTTATTACCATATCCCACACGCTTAATTAATGTGCCTGGCGACGTATGGAAGCTGCTAATGTATCACTTGCCATACGTCGTCTATGGTAGTTGACCAGGACCTTAGCTAGGGAGCAGTGCTATCCACCTCTGTGTACATACTCTTATCCAGTAAACCGAACCTACAAAACTATACAGGTGTTTGTGTTCTCTCCTGTATATAGAACTTATTACCCAGAACATCTAACATGGCGCAGTGCGTAGTTTTACTGGATTATTACGAGTGATTAGTGCAAGTTTGTGGAAAGCCGGCTGATGGATCCCCGCCTTGGGTCAACCCCGCGTCATCCCTCGAAGAATTTCGCAACTTTGAGCAGTGTCAGTGACAGTGATTTTCTGTGAAGTGTTTAGTGCATTGTGTGTTTCGTGCCATTCATGTGTGACCTTGTTCGAACGGATTTCCAAGGTATACGGCATGTTCTGGGCATTTGTGGGGTGTAGAGCTCAGCGCACCCTCCTCTGACCGTTTACAGAGAGCGACTGAGCTACTCCTATCTCCACCCCCCTCCCTCACAGCGCCGCCTCCACCCCCCCTCACAGCTGGGGCGAGACGCTCTCCTTGCCTGGGACACACACACACACATACATGTACTAACACTTGCTGACCGCGCGGTTTCTTATATATATTTTATATATATAACCTACTTATCTGTGTATTTAATTAAATTTTTTTGTCTGAAATCTTGTTGATACGACGGGCTGACCGGTCAACACTGATTTAAGACACAGTACACAGATAAAGTAGTTATGTCTCATGCCTTACGTAGCCGTGGACCCAGCGCCTGGATGAGTCAAGCGGATGATAGTCCCCCAGAGATGGATGACCAGGCTGACCATGACACCCCAGCTCCCACAACATCGCGCAGCCCTTCACCTCAACATTCAGCGTTATCTCCAGAGATAATTGCCTTAATGAAGTTTATGAGAGATGAGAGACGCGAGGATGAAGCTCACAGACGTTTGGCGGATGAGCACAGAAGGCAAGCAGAGGCAGAACGAGACCACCAACGGAGAATGGAAGACAGTGCACGGTTTGAAGCCTTGATATCTCGCCTCACTGTTAACCAAGCCCCTGGCTCTAACACTGCCTCGGTACTGAATGGTTCAGATACCTCATCCATGCTCCCTTCACGCCCCCCAGCCCCACCTAAAGCAGCAGCTCAAACGCCGCCCATCTTGGAGCCTGATGTAAATTTCCAGACTTTTCGCGAATGGCGGCGGCGGTGGGCTGATTATGCTACAATGGTGGATCTCCAGAGTTTGTCACAGCCTAAACAACTCATCCAGCTGCGTATGTGCCTGTCCTTGGAAGTTCAGCGTGTCTTAGAACATACGTTGCAGGTACCCCCAACCTCTTCGCTGTCTGTAGAGGAGGTACTGGACGTTCTACAACGGCACATCAAAGGACAGCAGAATGAAGCTCTGCGCAGGAGGGAATTGTTTAGCTGCAGACAGATGGAGGGTGAGTCTTTTGACGCTTTTTATGTACGTCTTAAGAGAGCCTCGGAAGAGGTAGATATATGTTTAGGCCACCACCAGCAGTGCGAGGAGACCCAGTTGAAGCAGGTGATCCTGATGGGTGTTAAGGACGAGGAACTTGTCCAACGCCTCACCTCCCTCGACTCTTCCTCTTCTCTTCAGGATGTGTTGACGATATGTCGCTCCTATGAGGCTGCCAGGTGTGCCACCTCTGCCATCCGAGCTCCCCCTACAGCTGTACGCGCTGTTTCCCGGTACAAGAAGGACAAGAAGTCTGCTCCTACGCCTTCGCCCACCACGTCCACGCCCGGTTCATTTTGCAACAACTGTGGTAAGCAGCACGGAACACAGGTATGTCCAGCTGCTCAGTCTACCTGCAACAGTTGTGACCGTATGGGCCACTGGTCGCTCACAGTGCGGTGCCCAGCTAAGTACGTACAGTGCAATGTGTGCGGTCGTCTGGGCCACTATGACAAGTGTTGCCCTACCCACGAACCCAAGGGACAGCGTCGGCGGAAGCTTCGGCGCCCTTCTACCAGTGAGGGCCGCCCACAGTCGCCAAATCAGAGGCACGACGACCCTGGACAAAGCCCGACCCATTTTAGGAGGGTGTACTCCTCGCATCCCAGGACCAAAGTCCCCCAGTACATCAGCGTCATCGTGACCTACGGCGGTGTGTCATCCCGTCTTCAGATGTTGCCCGACACCGGCGCTGATGCTACAGTCATCGGTCCCCAGCATTTGCGATGCTTGGGGCTCTCTCCAAGCGATCTAGGACCGCCTCCCGAGGACCTCTGCGTCATGGCAGATGGTTCACAGATGGCCCCAGCCCTGGGTTCACTCTATGCACATGTCACCTTTGGCAACAGGTCGTGTCAGGCCTGGATTGACGTGCATGATGGTGTCCCGACTCCCTTGCTGTCCTACAGACATTGTCAAGAGTTGGCCATCATCTCCCAGGACTTCCCAACACCGATTCTCGAGGTAAATTACGCCAACAGGGTGCATGAAGGGAGCAGCAACTACCCTGCTGCCGCCCTACCCCTACCTCTGGCCAGTGACACCTCTCCTTCGGTAGTTGTCCCTGCTGCATCACGTCCCCACGCCTTGGCTCGCCTTCACGACAGTCACCGTGGAGCTGAGGCCACCAAACGACGTGCACGACAGACTGTGTTCCGGCCTGGCATCGACCCCGACATCTCCAATGCTGTCCAGGTGTGTAAGCCCCGCCACGTATTACAACCCAGCCAGCAGCAGGTACCCTTCATGAGTGACGACAACCCCACCCGCCCCTTTGAGTCTGTGTCGGCCGACTTTTTCTGTGTGTCAGGAAAGTCCTTCCTGGTTATCGTCGACCGTCTCTCTGGTTGGCCGGTTGTCATCAAGGGCGGTAATGACACGACGTCTGCCGCCACCATCAGCAAGTTCCGCCACTACTTCCGTGACGTGGGCGTTCCTGTACGCCTGCGAACCGACGGAGGGCCTCAGTTCACAAGCCGGGACTTTGCTGCGTTCCTTGACCGATGGGGAGTCCGGCATGTGTTGTCATCGCCCCATTACCCGCAGTCCAACGGCCACGCTGAGGCTGCTGTCAAATCCTTGAAGCACCTCATCCTTAAGGTGGCCCCTTCTGGGAATATTGACTGCGAGGCCTTCGACCGGGGTCTTCTTGAACTCCGCAACACACCTAACTACACCGGACGCTCCCCTGCCCAGGTTTTGTATGGGCGCCCCCTTCGTTCTTGTGTCCCTGCTCACCCTCAATCCTTCTCCAAGGAGTGGCAGGCCAAGACAGAGGATTGTGATCGCCGAGCCGCCGAACGTGTTCAGGACGTCGTCGCCCGCTACAACGACCACGCCCGTTCTCTCCCCAGGTTGAGTGTCGGCACCCAAGTCCGTGTTCAGGACCCGACCTCCCTACGTTGGGACAAAGTAGGCGTAGTCATGGGTCTCGGCAGGTCACGGGACTACCAGGTGCGGTTACCCAGTGGTCGTGTGTGGTGGAGGAACCGCCGTTTTCTCCGCCCCGTAACAATGCCTTCTGCTGGCCCCGCCACCAGTGTTGAGTCCCATACCCTTCCCAGTGATGAAGTCCCTCGACGCTCAGAACGGATCCAGAAGAAAAGGTCCGCTCAAGACTTTGCTATGAGCGTATAGGGGGGAGGGA